TATGGAAGAAAATGCGCAACACCATCCACAAAACAAAGAATTCTAAATTAAAAACAACGGTAGTTTTGAGGGGCTTGAAACTTGCACTTTATTATACTAAAATTGAATGGGAATTAAATTTTGATGACAATTTTTTTAAACTTTATTATTTATGTAGTTTCTGTTATATATTGAATTATATTTTAAATAAAAATTTTTAAAAATAAGTTGCAAATAATATCATTTTGAATTTCGGTGCTAATTAGTTGAACGCAGGTGTATGTATGTAGCTTGGTAGCTAGCACGGACTTGAGTCGTGACGTTAAACGCCGCACTCAGCGTAGCCACGATTTCCGCAGCCGCCTAATGCTATCGGACGCGATGCTGATTAACCTTTCTTAAAAATTTGATTTTGCAATGCATACAAAACTTAAAAATCTTCTATTTCTACTATCGCCTCCATTAAATGAAGATATACGAAAAAATAAACGATTACAAATTTCCCACAATACGGGCACGTCAAATAATAGCCATATGAGTGCAAACGTATATACAAATGTAGTTCAACTATTGTAGGAAAAAATTGAATTCTTTAAGAAAAACCACCTAAATAAATGTAGAACAAATACATATTTTGTATATGTAACTACTGAAGCGTCGCTAGCAAAACGTACGGAGTGTACATATACATACATATATATGTATGTATCTGTACATTTGGAGCCACAGCCGCTTACGATAGCGATAATGACGTTGGCACACTACTAACACGGCCAATGTCCCCCGGCAACAACGCGGAATTAACCCATATGAACGAGAGTAAAAGAGAATTTCAAAGAAGAGCAGTGTGTAGCTGATTTTTTGCAGACTCGAATAACGTCAATACTTGGCACACATGTGTACATACATACTAAACCAAACACCTACAAATATCTATATTGACACTAACGGATAAAATCATAAAATGGTTGAGAAGATGGTTAGGTACAATTTCAATAAATTTAGAATTCCAGTCGTTTGGTTGAGCTTACAAAAATTAGTGTCCCATATTTGTCATTGGTAAAGTAAAATTAAGAAAACGTGGCGATTGTGTGGAAGTAACGAGGAAAACAAAAACTTCATCGCCATCACTCAGGTGGTTAAGGAATCGCCGCCATATTACCGACACGCTAACACCGACACACAACCACGCTATGCCCAAACCTAGTATCCAATGTTGTAGTCAAACTCCAAGAGAATTTCGACCAACTTTATAACCTCTCTTGCTTACTTACGTTTCATTTACATACATACATAGCTGTGGACTTTTGACAAAACAACCTCTGTGCTTTTTGTAGGTTGCAATTTAGAGTAACTTACAAGGAACTTCCCTTTAAAAATTTGACATTTTTATTTAATTTTCATTAAGATAGCATCTTGAACTACTCCTTATAATAACTAAACATAAAAATATCATTCGAGAACTCAATGAATTACTGCTTTGAAGAGAAAATGACCTCACTCGAGAGAAGTTGTTTTGTCAAAATTCCACATATCTGTATATTACCCCGGGGAGTGCCTAATCAAAATATTATATGTGTATTATATTCAAATTTTTTATTGAGATATTCTAATAACAGAATTATACAGATATTCAAAAAATCTGTATATCACTTTCAGCCCTACTGAAAACACCGACAAGTGGAAAATATCGTCTTTTGATTAGATTATAAATACATACATACAAAAAAAATCAACGGAAATTTTTAGACACGAAAAGTGAAAATTTTCAAGGCCGTTTTTGGGAATAGCCCTTTTTGCAGGCTCGTAAACAATTTGACAGTTCAGAGCCGATTGATACCCCTCCTGATGATCCTTTTTTAGATGATAACTATCGATAGTCTTTTAAACATACAATTTATATTGCGCTTGGCATATTTCTTACATACCAGTATATCGCAAGCTTACAGAAAAAGTTTGCTACGTGCTTATTAAGATAATTAAAATTTTTTAGAGCTACTTAGAGCGATATTAAACTGAGTCGGGAGGGAAGATCTCTCTTTAGTTTTAAAAGATGCCGTTTCCAGGTGTAATTTTTTGTGAATATTGAACCTAGTATTCGCAGTTCATCGACATTCTGGATAGTTTGTTGCTTCACTTCTATTGAGTGACTTTTAAGTTTTTAGAGGTAAATTTTCGTGCCTGTTCTTAAGGTCAAGTCATCAATTTCTTCAGAATATTTCTTAAAATTTTGCTTGACTCGCTATCATTCTTTTCGTTGCACATTAAAAATAAGTCGTCTGTATAGATTCTGAGTGATTATTTCGTTAAACGCGATTGAAAAGAGGACTACTGAAAGCGGTGATCCTTGGGGAATACCATTCGTTAAAGGATATAATTTGGAGTAAATACCGTTTACCCTGACTCGGATTTATCTATTTTGGAGGAATTATTTCCCAAAGTTGAAAATCTTGGGTCTAACGACCCACTGATGTAGTTTCTCTAGAATGTCTAACGCTTTTTCGAACTTTAGTGACAATATTGAAATGTGGTTGTGGGTTAATAGCATTTTTGCCACATTGTGCCTGATTGGGAAATATTATTGTAGTGCCAAAAGGCTCGTTTTTGTGGATAAGTTCAAGTGTTTAATCATGCTGTACGAGATGTGACCAAAACCTGGTGTTTTTCCTTTTGTACTTTTTAGGGTGAATTACATTTTCATTGCTGTTGGGTTTGTTGTTTGGTTTGGCGCCATATTTGTTTTTTCAACTTGGTTGAATTGATCAGGAAAATTGTTGTTGTTCGAGCATTGAGACCACTTGTGAGCAAAGAGGTGGGTTATTGTTTGCGTTTCCGTTGTTGTTCCTTGTGGTGTTTGAATTGATAATACCTGCGATGATAAGTTATTGATGCTTTTTACAAAGTTTTGAAGCTAGATTTTTTTGTTTGGTTCATTTCCCTGCGGAAGATAGCATTACGTTTTTTGTAAAAGAAGATTCTGTTGCGTTGGAGATTTTCGAAGAAGATGCCATGCTGTCATTCTGTGGTTCCACCAGGGTACATGGGCGACGGATTGACGCGGTACATCCTCTTTTGTTTAGGGGGATTAGGGAGTCACGCCCCCTTCTCCCCGTCACGCCTCCCTTCTCTCCTTCCATCTCAAAATCGTTGTACAAATAAATAACCATTTCCTAAGTATTATGGCGGAAATTTCTTGCCTTATGAATTATGAATTATGTTTGTGAATTAAAAACAATGTTTAAAAATAATGAAATTTCGGCTATACTCATTTTAATCTTTTCCGGACCTCACGTTGGTGTCATGTATTTGCCCTCATATACATATATGTATATGTATATGTGTATACAAGTAAAAAAATTTAGCCAACATTTTTAGCTACAACGAATTTTGTTAAGCTCTTTTTAGCCTTTTTTAAAAGGAATTTGGCTACCACTAAAAATGATTTGCGGCAACACTGCTTACAACAACGAGAAGAATCACAACCACAAAAAAGAAGTGTGATAGTTGGCATAAAACCAAGATGAATATGCGATTAAAAAGGAATGCGAAAGCAAAATGTAATCAGCGATTGAAAGGGAATGCAAAAGCAAAAAAGAAATTAAAAATCTAAAAGAAACGATGAAATTGCACGAGCGCTCCACGAAGGGGCTGGAACGAACGGGTGGCCGCAGCGGCATCGACTGCGGTAGGCAGAAAGGACAGCGTGTATGCATGTACTATGTTATGAAATCAATATTTTTCATTATAAACATTTAAAAACTTGTAAGTTCACCAGTTGATTGTGTTTCCATACCCGCACTACAATTTTAAAGTTGGCTATCGTAATTCATTATTTTCACAAAACTTACCTGCTGCTCTAGACCTGTGCCATTTTGGTTAATAGCATTACTCATATTACCCTCCAATCAGTTGCTGGTTTTTTCTTTCTTTCCGTTTAGGAAAATCTCGAAGGCTTGCTCACTTGCTAACACTGTTTCTATTGTATATAGAAATCGAGAAGAAATAAAATCAAAATTGTCTTTTCTCTATCTCCTAGAAGCCTCGGTCCAGATTGAGGATTTTTTTTATGTCTATGGCAGTAATTTTTTTTTTTTGCTATCTCATCAGTTGTTTCACATGGACTAATGAAATTTTAACTAGTTAATTCTGCTGAATATATCAAACACTTTCAGCATATATTTATATTTATATATATATAGGTATAGTCTTTCCTATGGTTTAATTTTACCAATTATTTGTAATGGAGAAAAACTTCTTCCAAGTTTTTTATAAATTTTCCGCACACGAACGAAAAACGCGTCGAACGTCTACTTCACTCGTTCAGTGAAAGAAAAAGAAAAATGGCCGACCGACTACCGAAACGAGAATGCAGGGATGCTTTTGTGGAACGTAGTGGAAAAAAATTTAGAAAATTATCAGAGAATAATCTCTAATTAGAGATGTGCTCTCGCTTATTAAATAGCCCACTGTAAACTAAATATAATTTGAAAATTTCTTATGATTTGCCAAAAGAAAATACTGCCAAGATTTTATTTAAATGCTAGACTGATGGACTCACAATTATGTTCGACTCCAAGCGTTTGAGATAAGCGAATTACTGAAAGCATTGATGACTTGGTTTAACAACTGGAACTATTTATTTTTAATTTTATTATAATTCTGTTTATTTAGTTGTATCGGGTGTTCTTACAAATTTTGATAGAATAGAAAGGCAAGCCAAAAATGTGTTGAAGAAGAATTTTGATGAAGAAATTGAAAGAGAAAAAGTCAGACAGAATTGTTATTTTGATTCAAATTGCATGGATTGTTTAAAACTTTTTTAAATATAAATCCTGGGTTGCCGTTGTTTTTATATAACCTTAGATTTAACGGGTGGATTAAATCCATAATCTAGTTTGCAAATATCACAAACTATCGATAAGACGAGTACGGATGGGACTAAATCATCGGGCAATTACTTCGCAATTGTAGACGATACTAAATGGTATCGGGCAAACAGATGTGAGTTTTCCTCATCCATATTTTTACCCTCAACAAAGACACGTAAATAAAACAATATCTGCGTAAAATCCTATATAAAGTTAATCGACACCATCAAAATAATGTCGGCGGAAATTAACGCGAAAAATAGCAATAAGTCAATGCCTGAGAAAAACGATTGGGAGCAGGATGACGAAGATGACAATTGGGATGATTGGGGTGATGCCGAGGATAACTTCGATGATGCACAGGCAGCTAACTTTCCACAGCCAAAAAGCAAGAACGAAACTTTAAGTCCAACAAATAATAATATTTCAACCAGAGCATCAGAATCAGTGGAAAAAGTTGAACCAATCAAGCAGGATATTAATAGCAACAGTGGAGTATCCACAGGACCAATAAGCCAACAGACATCAAATACAACAGTTTCCCAAAAGTCAACTGCAGGCTGGGGTGGACTCTTTGGAGGTGTAGTTTCATCAGTATTCTCCACAGCCTCTGAAGGTCTTGGTAATATTACCTCAACAGTGAGTCAAGGTCTTAATCAGGTTATTGGTGTACCCGATCCGGAGGAGTTAGCACGCATGCAGGCCATCGAAGTAGCAAATAAGAAGGATGATTCAGAAAGTAATCAAATCGTATATAACACTTCAAAGCAACAAGTTATAAGTAGTCGGCAGACACAAAATGCTCAACAGGATGAAGCGTCGCCTGCATTTGGTTTAAGTATTGTTAGTGGAGTAACTACGCTTGGTACGAAGGTACTGAACACGGGTTTGGATACGCTTGAGGGTATTGGAAAGAAAACTATGCACATTTTACAAGAGAATGATCCGCTATTAATGAATAAACGAAAGATGCTGGGTTTGGAAACAGAAAGACCTAATTTAAGCCAGGTTTCTTAAATTAAAATCCGTTTATTTTAATAATGCATAAATTATGTATATTTGACAACTTTTTATTTTCAACTAGGTATTAAAAGAGGCCAAAAAAGATGCTGATCAATTAGAAAGCACATTAAAAGAGTTGAAACTAGAAAAATCGCGTGAAATGCTGCGTTTTGATTTGCTATTTGAAAACCATTGCGGTCTGGTGCACCTGGAAGCATTAGAAATATTGTCCCAGGAATCAACGTTTAAATTGCAAAAACTACAGGATGCAGTAAGTGGCAACGCGCTCACCGATTTGCAAGAGACAATCACCGAAGTAAAGGAACTCATGGAATTGGAAGATTTAGAAGGTGAAAGCGATGGAAACTACGATGCGAAAGAGTTGAATTTTAGATTAATGGCCACTCTTGAGGATGTAGAACTGCAAATTAATTTCGATGACATAACAAAGTATGCACATTAAACAACATAAAATGTTATTTTTTTACGAACACTCAATTTCCCCTTACAGCAATTGGGCAAAAGCGGTGGACTGGCTCAACGTTACACCAGCAGTTGCTCCACAGGATCCTGTACAGGAAACGTTTGCTAAAGGCATTACAACGCTAGCGGAAACATGCGCTCTACAAATGTGTAAATTGCATAAAATTGCCGAATTGTTGCTGGTCAAAGACCATCATAGTACTGCAAATGAAGTCGATTGTATTGTGCAGTTATGTAAGCAATTCAATGCACATTTAAATGGACTAACAAACAGATTTGCCACGGCATTAACAGCATTTAAGCTGGACTCTCAACCTGTGCAAGAGGATGTGCTAAAAAGTCATGTAAGCACCCTTTTCGCCGAAATGCTAGTCGCGACACAACACATTGAGAAGGCATTTAATTTGTTTTTGCCAATATTGCAAATGGGAGCAGTATAAAGTGAACAAGTGCATAGCGGAGAGATTATGAAGTTAATATTGCTTATATTCTTTTGTATTTTAAATCATATACCTATGTATTAATAAATTTATTAAATATTGTTAAAAAGATTTTAATTATTTTCTAAAAATCCCCATTATGTGACATTCCACGCTTCGTGCTTTGGTTTGTTTGCGCTATAGCATCTTTGTTATTCGTTAAATTTTCAGAAGAATTATTTCCTAAAATAAAGACACACGTTTGTTTATAAAACTATTAGTGACGTTTTAATATATTAAATCCTTGTTTAAATATGTATGTAGGTACAATACATGATTATTGAGAATCATGGGTACAATAAACAATTTTACGTTTTTTAAATATGTTTCCTTTTTGGCTTGCATTATTTATACGCAAACAAGTATTTTTGTATACATTTTTATTTTACAGAAGATGCAGTTTGCATAAACGAAATAATTGTCTGTAATGACACTGCTCTTTTTTTTGCATATACATACATACATATTACTACGTTACCAAACAACAATTGAGCGACGATAACGTACTGAGCGTTAAAACGCGACGTGAGCAGCAAAACATATATTAAATTTTATCGACAGTGATAATGCATTGATTATATTTTCGAGATTATTTTAAAATAAATGAACTACTAACTAATTGCTATTTGAAAATTAGAACCCCGAATAAACAACTCTCCATTTGTAGCGCAAGCGTAAATTGTAGTATGGTGCAACATGGATAAAGATTGATTTCGCAGCTAGGCTCTTTGCAAGAGCTTCAAAACCTAAGATCTGGCTTGTTCTTTGCCATGTACCTGTAATTTTTTTTTTAATTAAACATTTACAATTGATAAATTAGTATTGTTCCACTCACTTATCCAAAGTCTCCCAAAATGTCATAAGTACAGCACGATCTAAATGGCGCTTATTCTGTGAAAGATTCAACACTGTAACTGACCACTTTGCCACGTTTGCATCGAGCTTTAGTTCGCTAAAGCGCAAATGAAAAGCGCAAACTGCGTGACAGCAAAGTAAATTGTTATTAATATAAGTATATTTATCGATGATACCAATTTGTTGTTCTTACTTTTGGAGAAAATTTCCACAGGATTGCCATCCCAAGGCCAACCTTTAAACTGCCAAGCAGGCCCCTGAACGAACACTGCCACGACACGCTGCCAATCTAGAGCTGAAAGTTTCTGAGGATTATCGATAATACGATAGGGCACAGTTTGATTATTGCGTTTGCGCTGCAAGGAAAATAATGCAATTTTTTTTTTATAACATAAATAGCAAGTAGCATAAAAATACATATGCATCTGTCTAAAAACTTAAGTCTAAGCGAAATATAACCGACCTACAACAATACCAACATATAACCGATTTCCTTTCGATAACTCACCTGCAGTAATACTTCGTTGTCGCGTGTGCCCCCTGCACGCTTTTTATCTTCAGTCGAGATAAATTTCAAGTCCTGCAGTACATCCTTGGCATTGTACATTGTAATGAGGCTGGTATTGGCTGAGGGTATTATGATAATAGGAGTACGTGAGACTCGTTTCTGTGTTGATGGCGCAACTTGGCGAGCCTGTGCAGTAGGCAGAAGCTCTTTCGGACGACCAGCTATGAAAGGAATATGAGCACTACTTAACCAAAAACAAAAAAAAAAAAAAAAACGCAAATATTCAACTTACGAATTTGTGGCGCCATATTCGCTTTTCGTTGTGCCAACGAACCTTCAGTCACCGATTTCAGTGACATGCCATGGTAAGTACCCAACGTGTCGATTTTAAAGCCCTCAGTTTCTGCATAGAAAAATTCTCAGTAATTTCATTCTAACTTTCTGTGATATTTCTCATTGCATACATACCTTCCTTTTGCCTATTGAAGCGCTCCTGATCATAACGATTGTATTGCGTCAACTGTGGTTGCGGTTTAGCGATACGTGCAGGTTCTGGCATTTTAATTGTTTGCTGTGCGGCTGGTCTATTTCGTCCTTCCTCACGTGCCTTTATGCCTTGAAGTATGGCGAAGATATTCTTGGCAAACATTTTGCCCGCACTTTGTAAAATCGTTGTGCGCGTGCGCCATTGTCGCTCACGACTTATTATATGTTTGGTTGAGTCGACATCGTAATCAAGAATGGCCCGTAAATCTGTAGCCATGGTATCTTCGTTATCCGTTCGCTTAATGGTGGTTCGTTTGTTGGCCAAGCGTTTTGCCTTTATGGCTGCAATCTTCTCCACGGACATGGTTTCCGACAGTGACTTGATATTATCAATATTGACGGTAGTCTCCTTCTTGTTGACATCCCAACGTGCGGCCAGCTGCTCACGTACCTTCTGCACTTGCGTATCTTCGAAGCGTGCTTTTTTTGCCAGCGAATCACCACCTGGGCCATCTCCATCAGCTGGGCGTTTCACTTGTGTGGGTATTTCAAGAGGCGCACTTTTATCGATGCTGGCGCATGTTGAAGTCTCTCCGTTAAGGTAGGCGAGCAGCTCTTTACGATCGGGACGATTGACTGCCGGTATATCTTCCGCCTATTGAGTATTTCAGAGTATGAATTCAACAATAAGTGAAGCATTGCAAATCGAGTACTTACAGCACATTGTCGCACGTACACCGAGTGCTGGAGCATAACATTTTTGAGCAGATATAGTAAACATTCCAACGTGTAATATTCGCGTGGCGCTCCTTTCTTGCCAGAACTGCGTACAAAGATTGTGGGTTAAAATTTATTCCCCATTGCGTATTAACAGAAATTGCCACGCAGGCTTACTTACCCATATTTTAGGTAGTTTGTTTTCACGCTTTTCGGCCAAGAGAATTCTCCAAAAATTATCTGATTATCACGTTCGATAATTTCTTTTTTGTTTATGTTGTATTGGCGAAGCAGACTAAGAGGATCCGCCATTGTTCAGTTTTCACGAAATTTATACAACAATGCAGCACTCAACTTTCTGGAGCCTTTTTTCTAATCTGTTTTAATTTTTATCCGCAATCCGAGATAGTATTTTATAACAAACAGCTTTTATTTTTGTAAAAGTTAAATTTTTACACCTTTTGCAAAA